CTTTCCTGCACTTGCATAATATGATTGTAACGACCGTCATGCATATAAATATTTGCGTCCAAATCTGGATTTTCCTTAACCAACTGCCGCACTTTATCCATATAGTTAGTTAAACTGTTTGTTACGAGAATTACTGCAGTATGTTCTGCTTGAAGTCGTTCTATAACATCTTGCCTGCATAATGAAATATTATAGATATCAACTATAAATTGAATTATTAACTTTTACATTTAAATAAATATACCTGTAATGATGGTTCCGTTGACCATGACATGCTATATTAGGATTTGGTTCATAAAGGCAGCATATTTCTCGAATTTGTTTTAATGCAGGCAAAGCCCATTTGTCACTATTCTTTAATTCTTCCACGCATTTGTCTAGCCAAATTGTCTTTTGAGCATCTCTTTCTTGTGAACACGAGTAATCAAGAATTTTTACATGAGCACTTAATGCTTGATCCATTATTTCTGTAGGCACCTCATCAGAATGCGCCAAATTCCAAAAAAGAGTTAATACCTGATAATAACGGAAAATATAATTAAACTTACATAGAATTAATAATATATTTTATGGCTATAATATGAAATTTTAATACCTTATGCGCCATTACACCATCCTTATCATCTTCTGCTAATCTCCGAATTAATTCTAACAATTTTTCTCCTTGTTTCTTATTAGCAGTCTTCCAACTCATCTAGAATAAAAAAAAAAGGGTTTAATTAAGTTATAATATAATCGGTAGAATCAATAATATAATTTCACAATGTGAACACCTGAAAACATTCAAATAAATGATCAAGTTGCTCAGGACTAAAATCCCAAGCAAGTTTGGCTAATAAATCATGAACATTTTTCACAATAGCTTCATGTTTCCCAGCTTGTGCTGCCCAAACGGCGTCTAAATCTTCTAAAGTTAATGCTCGTTCCTTTATAATAAAGCGTAAAATTTTTTCCAACTTTTCAACATATTGAGGCTGATGTAAAGAATCTCTTAAAACGATTTCTAATACTCCATTTTCCTTTATCCATTTCTATAAAAATAAAACAATATTATTTACAATATTTATCGATAAATTACACGATATCTAAATTGGAATAAATCTTAAACTTACAGCCATGCATTCTGCAGTAAGCCATTCTTCTTCCTCAACAATTGCATTTCGATGTTGATAAAAACTAACAGTGGCTATTACTTTATTTACTTCATTTAAAGCATTCATTTTTCCATTAAATGAAGAAATTTGTAAGAGTCTCAATATCATTTTCAGTCTCAGAATCCCCAAATTTTTAATCATTTCCTCTTGATGTGGTACCCGTGACACTAAACATTTGGCGGCTTTGATTATGGCTGATATTGCATCATTTTTTGATTCATTTTTCGCTTCTTTCTTTAATTCTTCATCAGTTAAATTATTCAAAATTACAGGCACTATTTCCTATACACATGAAGATGTACAACATATATAGATTCAAATGTAATTAAATTTTTTGATACTTTCCACAAGATACTTACCACAATAGGCATTAAATATTTGACTATTGTGTGAACAGTGAGTAATTCATAACATAAACCAAAAGGTCTAATTAAAGCATAAATAACTGGTACTGTTAAATTTCGGCCGCTCTGAAATCTAGAGAGCAAAATTTCAAATCCATTAAGGCTTCCAAACCTGTAAAAAAGAAAATTGAATATATTGTATATAAAATACAAACTATGAAAAAAAGGTTGTTAGTATTTTATCAACCTATTTATAAGATCCACTAGCCAACCACGGGGATTTCTTGAATCAGAAGGTGGCCGTGCATGAAGCTGTTCATCAGGAATATCACTGCCTGGAGGGACAGTTTCTGAGACCCTTGCAGCATTAAATGTATGAAATCTGAAAATTTGTAAATATAATATCGATAAAACATGTATTAAAAATACAATGTCTTTGGTAAGAAAAAATGCACTCACTTGTTACTAGGATTAAAAACCATTGCCAGCAAATCAAGAAGAGGAAACCAGTCCTCATCTAATTTCAGAATACATAGATCCACCAATCGCTCACAGTTTGCGTTAATACAATTTTGAATATTCATTTTCCAACTACTTACTGCATCATCAGTCAATATTTTGGTAAAAGATATAGTGAGTCCTTCTCGAAAAAAGCGCTGACACGCTTCACTTTGTACATCAATTCCTGTATACAAATTTGCATTTACTGTTACATGCTCCATAATTTAAAAATTTATTCAATTAAATAATTTTTATTCAATTATGTAAGATGCTCGAATTTAAATATTTATTCATTTAAATAATTTTTAAATTGCTCGTTATAGCTAACCTTTTTTACAAAGATCGATACTGGCTTGTAACAGGCATTCTAACTCTTGTTCTGGTAGAACTGGTATAACCCATCGTGGACTAGATATTTTTTCATGAAGCATATTGAGTTTTGCAACAGGAAAATCTAGCTCACCATGGAGCTGATTACTATCCTCTACTGAAGCTAAGGTATCATTGGTGCATTCTGTTTGTACCACATTCTCCGTGAGTTGAAGTCCTGACATTGTGTCAGCTAATTGTTGAGGACCCGGTGGACTGTGCATCTACATTATATATTATTATTCAATAACATAGATATAAAAAATGTATGTAAATTATGTTGTAACGCTTATATATGAAACAATACAATAAATTTTATAAATAAAATATTGCATAAAGCATAAATATATAGTATAAATAAATAAAATATAATTAGCTAATATAAAAATAACTTATATACCTGTGTACTTTGCTGGCTGTCAGGAGGGTCTATGCCTACTCCTTGGCCTCTTGTGGCAATCGTCATTTTGTGTGCTCTTTGCTATATTCCAATTGTCTCAATACCTCTTGGTCCAATAATCGCACCACCAATAACAACCATCCAACTCATTCACTGACATTAAATATAATTATACCCTAAAGGCCTTGGTTGAATAAACTATACCTACATTATCTGAAACAAAGTAACCAAAATTCTATTAGAAAGAAAATTGAAAATCTTGAAGTACAATCTCTCAATTGAATAAATAGAATGCTAATCTAATACTTAAGAAGCTTAGCATTAACAATACTAAGGCTAGATATTGCTCAAAGGCTTAGTAAAGCCTTTTTACAACAGTTTTATATCCATCAAATGAATTTCATCCCCTCATTACTCTACACATCATTAACAAATCTGATATTATTTATGATTTAATAAATATTAATTTTGCAAAGAACATGACCGACCAAAAAAAAAAAACAAGACAGAAAAACATTTAAAAACGTCGAAAAAATAAATCAAATGGAGAATTAGCGAGCCGAATAGGTGAAAAATTTGCAAGATAAGAATCGTATAGTTGAAGTTCCCCTCGAGGGATACCGGTAGATATTTCATAGTCAAGCGGCAGGAAAAGAAACGAATTTAACAGAAACTATGGAGAAAGAGAAAAGAAAACCATAACGAAAAACGTTTCGCACATTCTATAAATCGCATGACAGCATGATCTTTTTAAGGTTTCAGCCAACAAATTCCAATTATTCGTCTTGATCTGAACGAAGGAACGATCCTTTCATAAATGTTAACAATCACTCGAATTCGCGTGTAAACCAATAACAAAACTAATAATCATGTCCAAGGATCTCTGTATTTCTTTGGAATTTCGCAATTCATGAAAGGTACGATGTTATGTCGCGAATTTCTCTATCTCCTCCTCTCTCCTTCTCTCTCACACACATGCATACACATTCTCTCTCTCTCTCTCTCTCCTCTCCTCTCCTCTCGATCTCTTTCTCTCGCTACTTCTTTTTATTTCTCGGGTGTAATCGTCAAACGTACCGAACTGTCAACCGTCAAAAATTAGAATCAGGAAACGAGCGACCCGTCGTCTGCTTTCTGCCGATCGAGGATCATTGTCGAGCCAAAGAATTTCACGAACGATCGTCGCTAAATTAGCTCAGAATTACGCGAAATACGTATACAGCGTGCTTACAAAGGACTTAATGTCGAGTGGCGACGAGAAAGGGAATCTCGATGTTTCTCATCTACGCGCCACTTCTTTCCACGAGCGTCAGATTTCTTTCGTTAATTAGAGATAAGTGAACAGATACCCACGTAACCGGTACCTATGCAATTTCAACAATCCTCGGTGTCCAGGGAGCAACTATTTTCGCCCCGTTCACTCAACCGGGCCACCTCCGGACAAAATGGCGGCCATCCTAACGATTAGCATTCCCGTATTAAAGAAAATCTTTTACAATTCCCTTCTCGAAAATAATCCCGGATCGTGTTAACAACGTGACGTGACATACAAAACGTTTCTGTTATCATCGACTATCGCACCATACTTCTATCGATTAAACGCACCTTTACATAGTAAATGGTGGTAGAAATTTGTTGCACTTTTTGACGTGACGTTGTAGAACTCACTGGCGAATCTGTAAACATGACTATCTTACGGCGCTACCGTCGTCCTCGAGTTAAAACGACCACTGACACCACATTCACGATGCTTCTCATGTACTTCCTTGCTCGTTCAATTTCGATTAGACCGCCTTTTTCAACCCTCCTTTTTATTTCATTTTTCTTTTCTTTCTTTCTTTCTTTTTTCTTCTTTTTTTTAATCGAAACGTTCATTTCCAAAAACTTCTTTTATTAATAAATTGTTTTATGTAATTTGTTTTTCCGCATGTACATAGAATTTCAATGATACATAAGCGCACCTGTACATAGATTTTTCAACCCCCTATTGTCTTACCGCCTTTGTGTCATTCTTACTTTAGAAAATGTAATAATACATATTATGTTTTAATTTTAATCTCCTTTTTTTTTGTTAAATATCATCAAATTAAATAATAATTTATATGATGTAGTTGTGTTAATAATTCAAACGAATTGATAAACGTGAGAACTTTTATCGAGAATTCATGCATGCGCGCGCGCGCACGTGTGTGTGTGTGTGTGTGT